ATGTCATTTGATTTCTTGACTGCTGCTTCCATGAGTGTTGATGGTTGATCTGAGCAAAATGAAGTCTTTGACAAATTCCATCTTTTCTCCATTTATATGGATGCTGTTTATTGGTATATAAGTAGGATGCTTTTATGATTTAGTGTTCAAATCGGGACACTTTTGAGTATGAAAAGGGCATAATTTATACTTACTCTAGGACAACAGGGATAACCTAGGACTGCTCCTGAGATTGTATGGTCAACCTACATAGCCAAAGAATGTCTGGGTGCTGTGTGGAAATATAGAGAATGGCGTGCCTAGCTCTGTTGAAGTTGGGACAAAGATGTATGTGAGGGTGGGCTGCCAGGTGTATAACCGGAACATAAAGTGATTATGGAGGTGCCAGGTATATGTCTTGGGTGTATGTGATTGGCCTCTTCCTTCAATGAACTTGTAATAAGAAATAACTGTGCAATTTCAAGTTTAGAAAAGCACTGTGCAGATGATAAACAGAGTGCTGGAGTCTAGGGTGATAGCAAGCCATTAGAAGTAGATTCAAGCTACACTTTGGAGAGTGAATCTATAGCATTCATTAGAAGAGAAGAGGAGGGAAATCAAAGCAGAATCCTGATGTCTTGGTTCAACAATTGAATAGATGGTGGTTCCATAGAGTGAATGGGGAAGACTAGAATAAATAACATATACTGTTATAATTGTTCTTATTTGAAAATCAATCATTGAAATTAAGGTGGAGTTCAAATTAATTGACAATGTCAAGATGTAAATTGACTTGGACTCTTGATGCTGGAACTCATGGGCGCGCTGTGCTTCATATGCAAAGGAGATGGCAATCAGCATACATAGATAGCAATTAAACTGTGGGCTTGGTGAGTGAGCGAAAGAGGGCCTGGGGGATGGCTGAGAAATCCTAGTAATATTGAATGTTATTGCACGATCGATAGCAATAGTAATATGTTTCAGTCCATGTATGGACTGCCAGAAGAAGGAACACATTTATATTGGAGGAAGGACAGCCAGAATGCTCCTTGTAAATGAGACTGACGAGACTTCATCTTGCTTACTTTGGACACTCATTGGGAAAGACTAATCGCTAGAAAGGGACATCATATGTGGTAAGAGAAAGGGTCAGCAAGTATGGGCTCAACTATATCAGTGGTTCTGAGGCTGGCACAGGACTAGGCAATGTATCATTCTATTATGCAGCGTTCACCATGAGCCAGGGTGAATTAACAGCAACCAACAGCAACAGAGGAGAGGTTTGCTAAAGGGGTGATTTGTGTCCAGCAGCATCACAGGAGAAGGGGAGTTCAAGAGATCAAGACAGGGGCTTCAGGAGGGCAAGAGCAGTGAACTGTGTGTAGAGCTGAGTACTGACGAGTCATAGGAATGCAGGAAAGTGGTCCTCCAAAGTTTAGAGTCCATGTGATCTTTTGGAAGCATGGTGAGCAGATGCTCTGGATTCAGCTGGGAGGCATGGACAATGTAGGTAACTGCTCATAAAAGTTTTACTGTGATGAGGTGTTGAGCAATACATATGCTTAAATGTCACTCATTTTTAAAGAGACCCTCCCAGAAGTGCATTCCTTTCCAGGTTCGAATTTGTGTGTGGATGGGAGACCCCCTGAGTAATTCCCTCAGCTCTTAGAACTCAGCTCCAGGTGCCTCCTCTGGGAAGTGGCCCTTGAACACTCCTCTTTCCATTTCCTCCCCTTAGGGTTCCTGCAGCAACAGATAAAGGTCACTTCAGTGGTCTGCATGTGCTGAGGGAGGGATGGTGGCCTGTAGATGGCCAGATTGTCTGATGATGGGTTCAGGCTGCTGGGAGTGGAGAGTTGTCTAATACCAATGGGAGAAATCTGTTGTTATGAACCAATTAACCAGTTGCCATCAAGTTGAATCCAACTTGAGATGATCCCATGTGTGTTAGAGGAGAACTGAGCTCCACAGACTTTTCAGTGGCTGATTTTTTTCAGAAGCAGATCATCATGCCTTTCTTCTGACGTACCTCTGCATGAACTTGGATCTCCAACCTTTTAGTTATTAGTCTAGAATGTTAATCATTTGTGCCATCCAGGAACTCCAGCTGGGATGAATGAGGAGGATTTCAGTTGGCGAGGTGGAGCAGAAGATGAGCAGATGGAACCTTCAGCTTTGACAGATGGTGATGTTGACCTTCAAGGTGGGTTCACTTGACTGCTGTTGGTGAGGGTCACTTGCTCAGTATACATTTTAATGAGTACCTACTATGAGTCCTGGTGTGGAGCTGTAGGATAAACACTTGATCACAAGGTCGGTGGTTCAAACTCACTAGCCACTCCTCGGAAACCCTATGCAGGGTCTCTAGGAGTAGGATACAACTTGACATCACTTAATGAAAACAATGATGCAGTCCTACATTGGGGGTTCTGCAGTGCTCAAGAGCCCATACTCCTGGGGAATTCACATATCATGCAGGCAAGAAAATGAGGAGACCTTGTTTAGGAGAGTTAGAGAGTGGGCCTGGGTGTGCTGTCTGAGGTACAGTGATCAGGCAGGGCCTTTGGATGGAGACTAAATGGAGTGAGACAGTGAGGCCATGTGATGGAAGGACAGCTGAGGGAGACAAAATAGCGCCCAGAGACAGTCACGGTCTAATTCCAGGAAATTGTGACCGTGCCACCTTATAGGACAGAAAGGTCTCTGTAGAGGTGATTCAATGAATGACCTTGTGATAGAGAATTATTATGGAGTACCCAGGTGGGCCCAGTCTAATGACATGGGTTCCTAGGAGAGGGCAGCAGGAGACTCAGGGTCAGAGAAAAAAGATGCAATGTTGGAAGCAGAGGCCAGACAGAGGGGATAAGATACTACATTGCTTGTCTTGAAGGTGGAGGAGGCACCATGAGTGAAGGAGTGAAGGTAGTCTCTAGAAGCTAGAAAAGATAAGGCGGTGATTGTCTCCCAGAGCCTTCAGAAGGAACACAGTCCCGTCGATATCTTGGTTTTAGACTACGACCTCTAGAACTACAGGAGAATAAATCAGTGTTGTTTTAAGCCACAGAAGTGTGTGGGGATGTTACAGCAGCCATAGGCTATAGGAAGTCTGTTCAAGGTCCTACGGGTGGAGTGTACTCCTTGTGATCCACGAAACAGGCATCCAAGACAAAGATGTACAGTGCAGCAGACTCATGGTATTCACAACTTTTTATTTTAGAGAAGTGTAATCAAATATTAAAAAATAGAAGAGTATAAAGATTATGGAGTCCTGGTGCGGAGCTGTAGGATAAGCACTGGACTGCAAGGTCAGTTTGAACCACAAGCTGGTGCTTCAAACCCACAAGCCCCGCCTTGGAAACCCTATACAGGGTCGCTATGAGTCAGAGTTGACTTAGCAGCATTTAACAACAACAACAACATAATGATTATGATGATCATACACACACGGCCCACGACTTAGTTTCCATTCTTGTCCCCTGATGGCCCCTTTTGCTTCATCTCTATCTCTATCCGTTCTTCCCTCCCTCATTCCACGTATTTGCTGTTGTTGTTTAAGCAAATCCCCCTCGTCTTACTGCTTTGCCTGTAACAATCTCAGGATGCACCTCGAAGAGATACGAGATCTTTCACCCTTTATCCAGTTACCAGTTGCTATGGAATCCACTCGTTGACCTGATGTGGGTCAGACTAGAGCTGTATTCCACTAGGGTTTCAAAAATAGATCACTGTGCCTTTCTTCTGACGCACATCTGGAGGGACTGAAACCTCCCACCATTCAGTTAACAGCTGAACACATTAACTGTTGTTTGTGAGAGGGAATATACTATGATATGTTTATTGTTGCTAGCTGCTATTGTGTAGAGTGGAGTGAAATGCTGCCTACGCCATTGCGATCTGTAGTGTTTTCACTACCTGATTTCTGGCAGTAGATCATTGGGACTTTCTTCCTAGTCTATCTTAGTCTGGAAACTCCGCTGAAATCTGTTTAGCATGATAGCAGCATGCAAGTCCCTACAGTGGATGGTGACTGCACCAAGGTGCATTGGCTGGGAATTGGGCCTGGGTCTCCTGCATAGAAGACAAGAATTCTATCACCACTGAGCCCTGATGAATTTTGTTGTTGTTGTTAACTG